GGTGAGGCCTGCGGATGGTGATCCCGAACGAGCGATGCGGCCTGCTCCTCGGGAACAGGGACGGTCGCTGCCCCGGCTGTAGGCTTCTAGCGTTGGAGGGGACGATGGGATCTATAGTTGCCCTTCGGACCTGATTTTTCCGTTCGTGCTGGGTGTGGGCAGTTCTGCTTTACGTTTTTTGAGTAAGGTATGCTCTCTTCAGAAGTTGTTTTGGGTGCTTAGGTTTGTTTGGTGCCGATTTCTGCAGGTGTGTCTCAGTAATGGTACTACTATGTCATGAGTGCATTGTAACAAAATATGGATCCCCTTGTACTTTTTTAGTTTTGAATGGCATAATGTAATAAGTGCTTTGTCTTACCGGTTTATATTTTGTTGTGTTGTCACAGCCTTCCAATGGAGATAAAAGCAGTCAGAAGGTACGAAACAAGAAATAAGACAGCAGGAACGGAACTGTCATCATCCAAATCCCGAGTTGACTGGAGACGCACTAAAAGGGAGCTCATACTGCTTGACAGCAATGATGAATCCTCAGGTACCTCTGAGGAGGAAGAGCCTACCACATCAGAAGATGAAGCAGATGAAAAAGATGAAACTGTTGTGAAGAACAGGCTTTCAGATCAGGAAGAGAAAAGCCACGACAGGGAAGTAACAGAAGATGGTGAGGATGAGTGTGTCATGCCTGGGAAGCGTAAAAGGTTGAACACCTGTGTCTTGTATGACAGTGATGAAAGCGAGGACAGTGACATACTTGTTAGAAAAGTTTTTGCTAAACGCCCCTGTATAATGGATGAAGATGGGAGTTCTGAAGAACAGCAACCTGATAAAACCTGCCCTATAGAAAATGTTTCTACTAGTAAGAAACAGAAAGTGTTTGCGAAATTGAAAGAACTTGCAAGACAAAGAGCAACTTGGAGATCTTGCAGCGGTGAAAATTGTGAGGTCTGGATTTTAGCTTTGAAATTCCATTGGAGAGAACACTGGGTGTAGAGGAAGGCAAAGACTAACAGATACAAATCAGTGGGATTTTATTTATTTTGATTGGTTTTTTATTCGTGACAAATCGGTAGTTCTGTCACATTTTAACAGTTGTTACATGAACTAGATAATACTGACTGCTGAAAATCTTTATCTTGAGTTTAATTTTAGTTAGTGAGGGTTTAAGTATTTCCTTTCATTTGCATTTAATTCTTTCAGGCAACCTGATGACTAAGCAGCTTAGAACACAGGTATCTCTTCTCTATGTAGTCAGAAAGGAAAAAGTATCATTCCTTTTCTTCCGTAAAGAGACACGTGAGAGGACTATCAAATGATTTGTATCAAGAAGCAAAATACCTGCTGAAGTAACTTAGAGATCTCATGTTAGTTTAATTCCTACAGATAGACTGACAAGACGTACATGGAGGTGGCTGATTTAAAGCTGGAAGTAATTGTCATGTAGTACAGAATGATGTATTTTTTTTGAAACGTACTATTTCTTGTTAATTGGACAAATGGTGTTATTAGAAGGTCAAAAATCTTATCTGGTATATGTTGTATTTTGCCAGTGCAAACACTGAAAATTCTTGTGTTTGAAATACTTTTTAATTAGGATTCTAACGAAGAAGCAGAAATAGAAGAGGAACCACTCTGTCACTCGCCCCTCACACCAACAGGAAGCAGTGGCACTGACAGTGACAGCATGAAAGATTTTATAGTAGAGGAAGATGATGACAACACAGAGCATGTAAAGAGGAAAACCCAGCCACAGCAGAAGGAGCTAAATACATCAAATAGCAAGTTGCTGTCATACTACGTCCCACACTGTAAGATTAAAATTAGTGACAATTCTATAAGTATTACCTGCTTGTAGTGCTGTAATAAATACTGATGGACTGTAGGTACAAGTACTTTGTAATAGGATATGATAGTTTAAAAACCGATTCCTAAAAGGCTTTTATTTATTGTGGAAGTGCTCTGATTTCGCAGTAAACTCTTGCAGCCTTTCTGTCTTATTAAAGGGAGGGTATAATTTGTCAGGAAGGAAGGGAGACCCTATTGCATAGATTTTTAAGTTGGTCTGATTTAGGATGAAATAGGCTAACTATGATGGAGTCGTTCCTGTAGAGACCTAAAAGCATCATGCTGTCTTGTGATGTATGCTAAGAGCAGCAATGTTAGTTCTGGAGAAATTCTCTTCTGGAGAGTGTTGTAAAAATCTTGCCATGAGTTTGGTTTTTTGGGGGCTTGGGATTTTTTTTTTAAATGTGTTTTTATTCCATGGTGGAGAGACTTGAGAGCACAGGTCTGTAGGAGTTTCTGAATTTGTGGGTCAATTTCAGCCAAACTACAGAGCAAGAAAACTTTGTTGATCTTTTATGAAAACTGGTATCTGGATGGGGCAGAGAGATTTGAAACAGAACTCCGCCTTCTTACGTATTTTGTTGTTCAGAGGTAGGCATGTACCGATGGGATAGTCAGCGCTAGTGTAGGTGGTCATGAGCATTTGTAGTGTTTCTTCCCCAGTAAAGATCTGAGCAGAATTGTGTGTATATGAAAGAATGTTAGAAAAAAGAAGAAACAAACAAACAGAAACCCGTAAGCCTGGCCTTTGCTGGTTTGCGTTATTCCCTGCTATTCATAGAACAGACGATTCTCTTTTAGTTTGTAGCTGTTACTGTGGGCTCTTCTTGTTGGAAGGACGAGAGGCTTTAGGATGCTTCATTAAGGTCATTGGCATGAGAAGCACTATTTAAAGGCAAGGTCTTAAGGGTATGAATGTTGTACGTTGAAATTATTTTTAAACCTGTATTTAAATGACTTTAAAATTCTAAATTTACAATAATGGAAAGAAAGAATTCTTACAGGACTTTTAACATTGCTTAAATATTCTTTTTTTTTTTTTTTTGTAAATTCTGGTTATACTGCTTTCTTCCCAGTATCTTGCTGCGATCATTATGTACACTTCAAAAGAATAGTAAAGGCTTTCCTCATAAATGCGATTGATGACACTTTTCTGAGCTCATTATATGGTAAGTAAATTGCACTAAATAATATAATAGTGCATTCAAAGTTATACAAAGACATTTATTCTAGGGAA